AAAACAATATTATATTTATTTTATGACCTAATTTATAAGGCGTTACTTTTTTAATAGATAGCTTTTAAGAGGGAAAAAGATTCACCTATACAGATAAATAAGCGGGCTTGCGGATAGCGAGCATGGGTGGCTCGCGAGAGTATTGAGGCGCGCGGGGACCGCGACACGCCGCACGCTCGAGTTTTCGGGTCGGGCGGCGAGCATCGAAACAAGGATGGGACGGTAACGCATTTTTTTGCTCGACTTGGCGGGAACTGCTGGACATAGGCCTCTCCAATGGCATGCCACTGAACTCTATCTTCAACTCTACGCATCAAACCACTGCCAGCCACCTTGCGGATGTCGTTGCTCCTAGCTGGGGGCGCCCTACACTACGTTTGCCTAAACGCGGTCTCAACTTCAGAGCACGTCTACCCCAACAGTCATCGGTTCTTCGACAAATGTGACCGGCCCACTGCCATTTTATTTTGCTAATCCTTTGGGCTACGTCAATATCTTTAGTTCTGTGTCGGATCATGGCGGGAAATGAACTTCCCAAAAATTGAAATTGTTTTTTTCATGATAGTAATACTTATTTTTTTTTTAAATTATCGTATAAATGATTCCTTATCCCTTTAAAAGGCTTTCCATTAAAAAAAGAAACTTTTGCATTGATTTCAATACTTTTTATCCATGTATATACAGTTACCGACACAATTTTTCATATTTTATTAACAATTTCCAACCTTATTCTTTCATAATAGAGTTGAATACTTGTCAAACAGTGTCGAGTAACTAATTGCGATGGAATCCATACTTTAATTATACTCTCTAGGAACCAAGACCAGATAACTAAATTATTATTGTTAGTCAAAAATTGTTCATGAATTTCGAAAATATAATATTATACTGGCTAATACAATAGAGTAGATGACTAATTTTCATTTTAATGTCCGTCTGGTAGATTTTTTTAAAACATTAGACACGTAGGTATTTTTTATTTTCGAAATAATTTCGACGATACCTATATTGATTTGAAACATCGCGTGACGTCACTTCTAGGTTAGTTGTTTATATAGAAATGACGTAGCTAGCTCCCACTCCTAAACTTTAATTCGTTTTATCCAAGTAATGTTTTCTTATACGGTAAAATAAAAAAATACGTGTCTAATATTCTTTCATTACTTAACTGACGGACTAAAAAGATTCATATCTCGTCATCATACCTATTTAGTCGGTGATTAACAACAGGTAGTGTTACAGAAATGCCTGGACCAAACCTCTTTTGAAGGGGAAAACCATCCAATGACCTCTCCCTTCTTGGGTGCGGCGAGAGAGAATGTCAGACACTGACTAAACATCATCCCATTTCTATGTCTGCTTCAAGCCAGAGTCCCGGTAACCGTCTACAACGTCGGTAAACTTAAGTTTTCAAGTATGGGAGAGCCATGCTTCGGCACGAATGAGCCGGCTTGACCGGAGTGATACCACGGCCGAGCAGAAAACCGACGTGAAACAACGCTTGCGTTGTGTTTCGTCGTGTTAGTGAGGTTATCGGCGGGCCAATATTCTCCCCCCCCCCACTTCCTCCTTCCCCAATCCTCGAATTCTTAATCCCAAAAGGTCGGCAACGCACTTGTAACGTCTCTGGTATTACGGGTGTCCATGGCGACGCAGATTGCTGACCACTACAGATGGGGCCCAATAGGGCTGATGCCGATACGGAGCCGCGGAAGACTTAACGAGTTGCCGGGGCTCCGGCTCGAATTGCAGGAGTAAGAACGGGGTGGTTTTTAGTCAGTAAGAGTCTGACACTCCCTCTCGTCTCACCCAGGCTGGAGAAGTCATTGGATGATTTTCCCCCCTTAAAAATAAAAAAGGGTGGGAGGAGACGTTATTTTGATAATTTTCCACACAGGTAGTACTGCAATATCGATAAATACCTTGAATTGGTGTCAAACTGGCATTAGTTAATTATTCCACTGTAGTTCTAGTTCAAATGTTCCACTGTAGTTCTGTAATGACAAATAGTCATAGACAGATAGATACAGGATCATTTTGTTATTAATAAAATACTTAATAGAGCTGATAGTGAATCTAATACATACATACATAACTTCACGCCTGTCTCCTGGGGTAAGCAGGGAGTATGCAACGCCAATTACAATGATCGAAACTAGTAGAGCTTTGTTCTGTGGTTCGAAACTAGTAAGCTTTTCTCAGTATATTCACGTGAGTAACCCGCGGTTTTACTTAATTTAGTATGTCTCACGATAGTTATTATAATTACTATGATTCCTAAATACCTCTTTCGCTTCATCAACAGTCAATCTTTTCATACAAGCTTGTCGGTTAAGGAATCTAGGTGAATCTAATAAGACTATTTTAATGGGAATTTGGATGCTAATAGCAAACCAAACCACTCAAAAAAGTTCTAGTTTTAGTTAGAAGTATAATAAATGCAAAAGTTTGCATGTATGTCTGTTACTCGAATACATTAAAATGGCTGAAGCAATCGGGATAACATTTGGAATATGAGTAGACTATGATCTGGAATAACACAGGCTATTTTTAAACCCATGTAAATGTGGGTGAAGCGGGTGGCAGAAGCTAGTTCTTTATTAACCCTGCTAGATCAAAAGAAGTTCCTTCATAGCAACTTTTGATGCCTCTAGTACTATTGGAATACCTAACTGCTCAGTCCCAAAGCTGTCACTGGTGACTGCTTTCCACTTACTTCATTAAGACCTTATTTCCAGTATTTAGAGACTAGTTTTGTATGAAAAAATATTGTGGATTTTTCATAATCGTGGATTAATAAGTTACTCTATCCTGTTGAAATATCATCCCCTACATTTGTTCATACAGAAGTAGTCTCTAAATATTAGACATAAGGTCTATAATGTAGTTAGTCGAGAGTCGTCACTGGTGACTGCTTGGGGATAAATGGGCTATAACCAATACAAGGCATTGGGCTAACCAAAAGTTTTGTTGCTTCTACTTGAAGTATTAGAAGTCCCAATGATATATTATCTTTCCTTTAACTATTATTAAAGCTGAAGCACGCTATTCATGAGGAAGAACCCCTCTGTAGTTCGAAACTAGTAGAGCTTTTCTCAGTATATTCACGTGAGTAACCCGCGAATTTTAGTTGGTTTGTTTGAATGTGTTAATCGCTGGACTGATTTCAATAATTCTTTTTGTGTTGGATAAAGCATTTAACAAAGAAGGGGATAAAATATCAAGCTGTATTTAATAGGAGCCGAGCAGAGGGTGAAATCGTGCAAGAAGATATAGTCCAATATGAAAACACAGTTTTCTTATCAGAACACCTATAAAATAATAACAAAATGATCCGTAACACCAGTTTTAAGAACAAAACATAACATGTTTGATATAATTCTCATTGTAACCTAGTTTAATACGATACCGGTGGTACATGCGGCATCATAGACGTGTAGACACACTGATTATCAACTGGTTTCATAACCTGCTGCATCGGTTGGTGTTGCATGATATTCTGGATCTGCGGTTGAGGTTGCGGTGGTTGTGGCGGTTGTTCTGGTGGCTTCTTATTCTTCTTCTCACACTTCTTAAACTTAATACCAAGCTTGTTTAGCAATATTAATCTTAAAGATTCCTTACCTCCTCGATAGTTTAATTCTACTTTTGCGGCATTAAGAATCTTCCCAAGTGTTGGGACCTCTTTTCTCACTGAATAACTATTCACTATACCTCTTAGAGCGCATAGCTGGAAGTAATCCAGTTGAACCTTTGTTTTCCGAACTCTTTTCTTCTTGGGGCCAGCGATTTTAGTCTGTGTAGCCTCTGCTTTCAAACCATCGCGTTTTATCCGCTTTATTGTACTTTCAGACAGTCCTGTGGCCGCACACGCTCTTTTAACAACATTCTCTACTGGATACGCGTATCCTCTGTTCTGTTTTTCACTCTCAAAGAACTTTATTACCTTAAAAATAATCTCCCGAGCTTGCCCCTCGATAGCTTCCTTCTTTTTCTTATCGATTTTCGGTTTTCTCTCAACGAGGTGCTGTTGTTGCTGTTCTGGTGGGTTTACCTGAGGCGGGGGCTGCTGTACATGGTTCTGTTGAGGCTCTGGGGGCGCCGGTTGGTGCATTATAACAGCATTCACCACAGGAACTTCATAAACATTGACGTTTATATTCATTTTCGTTATAAGCAATTTACACGTTTCTCCAGATATATTTGTGTGTTCTTCATGAATGCAACGTTGCTTTGTAGTTTTAGATTCAAGAAAATCTTGTTTTCGTGTTTATTTACGAATTATACACAATAGAAACAATAAAATTAATGATACAGTAGCCATAGGCCATTATTTAGGTAGGGACCATAGACAAAATTGTTTTGTTTCCTAAACTTTCCTCCTGGCTTGTTTGGGGATGTCAGCCTCAATTTAGAGATTCCTTAAAAACAGTAAAGTATTTTTACTTTGACTCATTTTGATATCCTATAGACTGTTTTCAAAATTATTAGCTTACGCGAATATTTACTTTTTTATTAAAATTTTTGTGTGTTGGTTGTGTATCTATTTGGTCATTTTATAAATTTGGAAATAAATACGTAAGTAATTTCCTATTTTCATGGGTAATCCAACGTATACCAAAGACTAAACTAGACCTACCACTGCTTTGACGTCTACTCAGGTGCTACCAGCGTCAAAAAATGTCCCGAAGTAAGGATTAATTTTTCCCATAAATCGACTTTTATAAATTCTCAAAGCTATTACAAAATACATAAAGAAGAGTAAAAATATAATTTAAAAACATTGTGATACTTCACAGAACGATTAAATGAGATAACAGACCAAAATTAAGTATTACAAATTATAGATATTTTTTATAGTAATTTTCTTACAATTATAACATTTGATTTGACGTTTGACGATTTGTTTTGCATTCAAATGAATATTGAATAGCTAATTTTGCTATTATTTTGCAAAAATGAAACTGAGATTGTAAATTCTTAAAAATCGCGTAATAAAAATGGACGAAAACCTGGAATTAGAGCTAAAAAAGCTCTGTTGTACCTGTTTAAGCAGAGATCGGAAGCTATTTCAGTTATGTAGATTACCTGATGGTATAAATAACTTATATTCACTATTATCCTACGATTCTGAGGCCTATAGAGTAAGTACTATACTTTTTATAACATGTATTGTTATTATTGAATTAATTAATATGTCATTGATATTACGGTAAGAGCCTTTTATGTGACAAAAAGTTGCTATAGAGCAATTTGTAAATTACTTATTCTGTGAGAACACTATAGTTATTTGTTTTTATAAATTTTGGTTTTATAATATTTGTGTGTACTCTATATTGTATTTTTTTTGAAATTCAAGCAGATTGTAAGTTCATATTCTTCCTATGATTTATTTTTATTTAAATAAATTCAAGAATAAGAAGATTGTTTCACGAAGTTCTAACCGCTATGTACCTGATAAACTTAAATTAAGAACATAATAATTTGTATGAACTATCTCCTACATAAGTTTATCAAGGGCTTATATGAAAGTGGTGAAACTGGCACTTAATCATTTCAAAAAGGTCGATCTGTTTTTAACTACTTTTTATCAAATTACAGGAAGGTTTTTACAGAGACACAACGAGTTTGTTCATTTGCTGGGAGTGTAGAGCTGTTATGTGTCGGATCACTAGGTTTAGAAGACAAGCTTGTACAGCTCAGAAGTGTCTGAGTGACATTGCTGATGGACGGACTAATGTAAGTATTTTTAATGTCTAATGCTTTGTCCGCACTATGCTAGTATTTTATTCAAGTAGCAAGTATTTAGTAACTCTCTCTCCTGCTTTGATTTTGGTAAAGAAGTGTGAGGGATATACTAAACACAATACTAAATACTAGGATATACTAAATACTACCATAGTGCAAACATGGCATAACATACTTTTGTTTTTTTTCCCCTATTATAGTGGTTTATTTTTGTATTGTGATCTTTTTGAACGAAATGAACGATCTCATAAATAGTCATTATACATAACATAACATCACTCCTTTTTATCCCCGAAGGGGTAGGCACAGGGGCATGTAACACCCACTTTTGACTATTTATGTTATGAACCCCATGTAATCGGGGGTGAGCTTATTGCCATATACCGGGCACAATTCCAGACTCCGTGCTAGTACTGAGATTTTTTTAATTCTCAATAATACTTTGCCCAACCGGGAATCGGATCCGAGACCTCTTGCCCGGCAGTCTGCTTGGCCAACGAGGCTGTAGAATCGAGGCAGAAATATTCATTTTATTACATCCTATTCGTAAATTAAAAGTCATACTTTTAGCTCCTGGGCAGAGATGGTACTTACTTTTAACCAATTATAATGTTATGAATGAGTCCCGTCATCCTTTGTAATAAAAAGTGAGGGATAGAGGGCCATATTTCCATATTTCTTATTGTTTCTGAGAAATTGAATGACTGCACGGTTGGCGCGGTGGTTGGGCAACTGACTGCCGCGCAACGTGTCGCGGGTTCGATTCCCGCACGGAACAACTCTTTGTTCCACAGATCGTTGTTCCGGGTCTGGGTGTCATGTGTATGTGAACTTGTATGTTTGTAAACGCACCCACGACACAGGAGAAAATCCTAGTGTGGGCCAACGTTTTTTTTTTAAAAAATGTAAATTAATTTCCCATGAACCAAAAAAGCCCTATGATATTTTACTCAATTTGGGAATTAAATCCGAGACCCCTTTGCTTGTAGTCATACTACATACAGCCATGGGGCCAATGAGGCAGTCATTTATTCTTAGATATTAATCCCAGCATTTATTTACATAAATAAAATTATATTTACAGGTCAATACAACATGCCTATCCCGCCTTACCAGCAAAAAACTCAATGAACTAGCCGTAACATCAAAATGCACAGATACAGAGAATTTTATAAATCTAACAGAAGGTTTTATAGACTGTGGTCCAACAACAGATATACTCATAAAGAATGAATTGGATGATGATGACATTCCATTATCCGAACTCAATAACTGGCCAGACCATGTCGCAGAAACAATCATAGACTGCAAAGATGAACCGTTAAAAACCGTAAACAATGATAAACTGTCAAAAGCGATAGCTAATAAAGATGAACTGCCAACAACCATAGACAATAAGGATGAACTGTCAAACACATTAGTGTTGCCAGGTGTAAAAAAGAAGAAAAAGTATTTGAAGAAAGTTTTTTCTACTGTTTCTATTGATGATTCTGAATTGGAGAAGATGAGAAGTGATTGTAGGTTGGATGCTGAATTTTTGGAAGCAAGTTTTAAATGTGATAGCTGTATTGAGATTTTCGATAACGATGCTGCAATGGCTGAACATAATTCATTACATCTAGAGGTTTGTACGTCATTTTTAATGTATCATTCGTCCTTTCTTTATAGCGCAAGGCTCTCTCTTGCACATGCTGAAGTACTTCCATTTCACCGCAGACTTGGGACATGAATATGTACCCATTTGTATATATATATGTGGCCCAAGTGTAGTCTAAAGGACATCCCACATTTAAAAAGCATGACTCCGGCGCGGCGTTGGCGCGGTGACCACGCGCTTCCAACTCGCGGGCGGCGCGCAGTGAAAGCTTTTAAGGCTACATTTACACTCTCGCGCGAGTCGAGACGAAGCCGAGAACACCGCCCATTGCATCCGTATTGCGTGGACATTGAATGAACTAAATGGTATTGAGTTTGGCTTTATATTCCGTACTCTGAATGCTATTTTAACAGCTACGATAGAGGTTGTATAGTTTTGACATTGAATAATTTATTGAGATTTTATTGGATTGAAATTGCATTGACATTGAGATTGGTTTCAAGAGTAAGGCGACAGGTCGTGGTATCACTCCGGTCGAGCCGACATAACAGTGCTGACTCTCTCTTTTTTGACTACCAATATCTTTGTCCTCTTACAGAAACCAAATCACACGCAATGTGATATTTGCCTCGTCTATACTCTGACGTCATCGTACACATGCCATAGACAAGAGCATTACCATAGACACGACTGTAAATTGTGCAAATATACAAGTTTGAATGAAAGCGCTATCTATTTACATTTGGAAACTAGACATGAGGTTAAAGAACTTTCGACTAAGAAGGTTAAAGCGGTGAGTACTTGTAATAAAGTAGTTATTACATTAGCGAAATGGCTGTGGTTATGAGATAAGATGTTAATGAGATCCTACCCTTAACTGACGAGCATGCATGAAAAGACACGCATGTTGATGAAGCGAAAGCGGTATGTAAGAATCGTAGCAATTAGCGTTCCATAGTCTCTGCCTACCCCCATGGAAGACGATACGGAGCTGCAGAGGACTTAACGGGTTACCGAGGCTCCGGCTCGAAGTGCAGGAGTAGGAACGGGGTGGTTTAGTCAGTAAGAGTCTGACACTCCCTCCCGCCTCACCCAGGCGGGAGCAGTCATTCGGCCGATGACGATGATAATGTACATTCTAAGACTGCACGGTTGGTGTTGTGGTAGGGCAAACGAATGCGGCACAACTTGTAGGTTCGATTCCCGCACGGAACAACTCTTTGTGTAAATCACAAATTGTTGTTTCGGGTCTGGGTGTCATGTGTATGTGAACTTGTATGTTTGTAAACGCAACCACGATACATGAGAAAATCCTGTTGTCCCCACAATAGGATTTTCTCCTGTGTTTTTTTTTTAATAATTTTTCTTTCAGAGTAAAGAGAAGTTGATGGAAAACGTAAAAACTACAAGTAAATTAAAAGACAAGACGCCTTTACAATACAAATGTGATGAATGCGATAAATATTTCGGGTAAGTAATACTTTTCCTTTTTTTTATTCTTCTCTTATAATATCTTCTGATTCACTTCGTTGCGGGAACCAAGACAGTTACTCATGTCCCTGGGACGCGCGGGACTTCAGTGTTCCGGTGTTTTCATGGTTGTATCTACTGTAGATCCTGATGCACAGGAGTTGCAGCGGTTTTTGGAGGTTGTGGTGGGCTTGACTAATTAAAAAAATATTTTACATTACTTATTTGAGCCCTAGGTGACGGCGGGACTCGTGTGCCACCTCTACCCATCCCACAGATGTCGTATACCCGACTAAGGGACTCCACATTAGACAGGGGCCGGGCAGCAGCGCTCTCTGATAAACCTGAACCTTTTATACTGCGATCTATAACACGCCTGCCGAGCGTGGAGGCTATGGTTTACACCCTCTTATGTAAAGGAAGTCTAATGGGGGCAACTTACGGAGCCGCGGAAAGCCTAACGGGTTACCAAGGCTCCGGCTCGAAGTGCAGGAGTAGGAATTGCTTAAAAAAATATTAATATCAAATCAAACAATAAAATAAAAAACATGAATACAATTATATTTCGTATTTTAACACAGATTATAGTATATAAGTTTTTGACATCACAAAGTTTTGGATCCCTCCCTTCCCCTTGTCACACAATGTCACAGTTCGTCGACCCCCTCCCTCCCCTTAAGTTGTTACGTAATTTATGTATTTATATATTAACTAATGGACCCTAAGACTTCGTACCGCCTAAAATATTTTTCTCATCTTTTAAACCTTTCTCTGGACTTCCACGAACATTTCAAGACCAAAATCAGCCAAATCGGTTCAGCCGTTCTCGAGTTTGAGCGATACTAACGAACGGAAATTTTAATTTTAATTTATATATACTAGCTTCTGTCCGCGACTTCGTACGCGCAATCCCGTTTTCTCCCGTTTCCGTAAGATTTTCAGGATTTTTTTCTGTCTTAAGGACCTTTTCCTGACAATAACAAACACAACAAAAAAGAAATCAGTCAAATCGGTCTAGCCGTTCTCAAGTTATGGCGTGACAACGGGAAACGGGTTTCATTTTTATATTTATGCTAGCGGACCCGACAGACATTATCCTGCATATCCGCAATATATACAAAAATTCATTCAAATTAGTTCAGCTGTTCAGGATAACTAACCTTGGCCACGACTGCAGCACCATCTGCCGGGCTGATTTGTGAATCTAAACCATCCAGGGCGCCACTCAAACATGTACAGAAAAATTCATTTAAATCGGTCAAGTCGCTTAGGAGGAGTTCAATGACATACTTACACACGTACAGCAGAATTATATATATAAAGATATAGATAGACAAAAAAGAAAACGGTTTTATTAAACGAAATTTGTAAAATAATCATTTGCTTCTGATTTCAGTAATAAAAGTGCGCGCTGGAAACACGTACAAAAATGTCATAGAGAGGGATTCGAATGTGCGACTTGCGGTCAACGGTTTCCATTCAAAAATAACCTTAGAAGACATGAGCAGTAAGTATCAAAATTGGTTGATGTAATTCAATGTAGTACGGAAGATAAATATTCAGTTTTTAGCCATTAATCTTAAAAGTACACTTCGGGAGCACGAACGAAGTCACTGGCGTTTTGTTTTTATTTTATCTATATAATATAAATATGAAAATATTCGTTTTGCAACAAAAAGGTGCTCCCTCGCCAGGATCATTCACGTGTAATGAAATATTATAGATTGGACTTTATTTTATTTTGTTTATTGATTAACCAATTACATTAATCAAATTAAATTACAAAAAATATAAAAATAAGAAAACTAAATCAAAGTACATATTAAAAGTAAATGAGAAAATATAGTAAAATTACAAAACATTAGATAAGTAAAGTTGGACACAAAAAAAATACACGAATCAAAATACAATGCAACTTAGAATTAAAATTAAATAACAGTAATAATAACAATGACTTTGAGCATTACATTAAAACAATACCTCCCTGACTAACGAGCATCCACGTGTAATGTAACATTATAGATTCGACTTTGAGCATTACATTACAATAATACCTCCCTGACTAACGAGCATTTGCTTGTAACGTAACATATTGATTCGACTTTGAGCATTACATTACAATAATACGTCCCTGACTAACGAGCATTTGTGTGTAATGTAACATATAGATTCGACTTTGAGCATTACATTACAATAATAAATACCTCCCTGACTAACGAGCATTTGCGTGTAATGTAACATTATAGATTCGACTTTTAGCATTACATTACAATAATAAATACCCCTCCCTGACTAACGAGCATTTGCGTGTAATGTAACATTATAGATTCGACTTTGAGCATTACTTTACAATAATACCGCCCTGACTAACGAGCATTTGCGTGTAATGTAACATTATAGATTCGACTTTGAGCATTACTTTACAATAATACCTCCCTGACTAACGAGCATTTGCGTGTAATGTAATATATTGATTCCACTTTGAGTATTTTCAGACATTGATGTTACAAGTTGTATCAAGATATTACACATTGCATCATTACAAGGTGCGCATTGTAATGCTCGATTCTCTTCCTTCACTGATGTAATGCTCAGATCTGTAACGTTACATTACACGCGAGTGCACCTAAACGCTCTCATTGTAAAGGTAACTAAATTACCTTTTATACGACATACGTTACCAATAAATAAAATACTTGTATCAGAAACTATTTGTCAAGAAATGAAGAAGAATAAACGCTATCGGTTCCGTTTCTTTGCTCCCAAATTTTATACATGTCAGAAGAGTCCAATAAGTCAAAAAAGTGGAACTTGTGATAACTTGTCAAAGAAGTAGACAATGATTTTACCCAACACTGACAAACGGCGAAGGAAAACATCGCGAGGAAGCCTGGACTTATAATTTCTAATTATAAGTTTGTAATCGAATTAGACATCTATGACAAGGATTGGCCGCAAAAAGCTTTACATAGAGTGGTCGGAATACTTTAAAAACTTTGAAAACTTAAACTGTCAAACACCACGAGGACACCGGTGACCGCAACCTATTGTTCTTTAATTGTGTCTATAATGACGGTACTCAAAGGGTTAATATTTTTCCAGACGTCACAAATCCCCACCGCCCCGCGAAGAATGTCATATCTGCCACAAAATGGTCAGAATATCTTTAAAAGCGAACCATGCGAAGATACACACAGAGCGTCCGAGGTACCGATGTGATCAATGCGACAAAATATTCGTCTCTCGAGAATCCTATGAGAACCACTTGAAGTATTCCATGGCGCATGCCAAAGGAGATTTGTTGAAGTAAGTTCTTAATTTTATAGTTTAACAAGTTACTTCCGCGCGGTTTCACACGCTCTGCTCAGCTCCTATTGGTCGTAGCGTGATGTTTTATAGCCTATAACCATCCTCGATAAATTCGCTATCCAACACAAAAAGAATTATTCAAATCGGACTTGTAGTTACGGAGATTAGCGCATTCAAACAAACAAACAAAAAACAAACTCTTCTGCTTTATCTTATAGTATAAAAGTATAAGATAAGACTAGCGTAGCGTTATGTTTTGTTGTCTACTAAGTGTTGCCCGCGACTTTGTCCGCGTTGAATACATAACATAACATCACGCCTTTTATCCCTGAAGCGGTAGGCAGAGGTGCACATTATGCCATTGTACAATGTAACACCCACTTTTCACTATTTATGTTATGAGTCCCATGTAATATTGGGTGAGCATATTGCCATATACCGGGCACATATCCAGACTCCGTGCTACTACTGAGACTTTTAAAAACCCAGTAATACTTGCCCGACCTGGGAATCACTTCGCACTTGCGATCACTCGGCCAACGAGGCAGCCGCATTAAATATGGTTCCCTTTTCTATCCCATGGAAGCATTTAATCGGAATAAAAAGTATCCTATTATCTAAGGCAGCCCATGCCCTGCCTGTATACCAAAAATAATCAATTTCATCAAAATCCGTTCAGTAGTTTCAGAGTAATTGACGACCAAACATCAAATAAAGAAACTTTCATATTTATAACTAGCGACCCGCCCTGACTTCACACGGGTGCAATATGCATGTATTATACATATAAACCTTTCTTAAGAATCACTCTATTTATTAAAAAACCGCATCAAGTGCCGTTGAGTAGTTTTAAAGATCTAAGCATACATAGGGACAGACAGACGGCGGATAGCAACTTTGTTTTGTACTATGTAGTAATACTAGGAAGTATAATTTTTTTTATTTTTAAGGGGGAAAATCATCGAACGACTGCTCCTACCTGGGTGAGGCGGGAGGGAGTGTCAGACTCTTACTGACTAAAAACCACCCCGTTCCTTCTCCTGCATTTCGAGCCGGAGCCCCGGTAACTCGTTAAGGTTCTCCGCGACTAGAAAGTAGGATAAGATGGTATTATAAAGAATCTGCACCAATAAAGAATTCTGTGAGATATACGCCATGTCAGGAACAATATAACGTGCATGCATCACGGCGCAATTTACAAATGGAGCAGTTCCTGGCAGTTTGAGGTGACTCGTGAATCTGTGTGAGTGGAGAAACTAGGAAGGAATGCCTTTAAAACATATAAATCTAAATGTTACATTCACTATTTACTGTTTTGTTTTGAATTCCGTGGATTTAAGAGACGGGCCCGTCATCATACAGAGATTACGACCTACAGATTTTCCTGCTATTTTCAAAAATAGATATTTTTACCGACTTTAAAAAGGAGGACGATTTTTTTTTACCGATTACTCCGCCGTTTGTCAACCGATTTCCAAAATTCTTGTTTGGTTTGCTCCCAAGAGGGTTCCATTTCCCATATCTGTAGTGTTTCTCGTATCGGTCATTAATTCCAGTTGCTTTAATTGGTTTTTGTTCTCAACCGTTGTGACTGTAATAAATAAATAAATAAATTACTGTTGTATTGCCTGTCGCGTTTGTTCTATCTGTCGTATTTGTCGTATCTGTCGTGTTGGTGGTGTCATTCGTATCGGTCGTATTTGTCGTGTCTGTCATGTCAGTCTTGTTTGTCGGCGCGTTTGTTGTTTTTGTCGTGTTTGTCGTATCTGTCGTGTCGGTCGTGTCGATCGTTTTTATTGTATCTGTCATGTCGATAGTATCTGTCGTGTTTATCGTATCTGCTGTGTCGGTCGTGTCGATTGTAGTTGTTGTGTCAGTCGTGTTTGTCGTGTCCGGCGCGTTTGTTGTATTTGTCGTATCTGTCGTGTCGGTTGTGTCATTCGTATCGGTGGTATTTGTCATGTCTGTTATGTCTGTCTTGTTTGTCGCATCTGTCGTATCTGTCGTGTTGGTCGTATAGGTCGTATTGGTCGTACCTGTCGTGTCGGTCGCGTTTACCGTATTTGTCGTGTCGGTCGTTTCTGTCGTGTCGGTCGTATTTGTCGTGTTTCTCGTATCTGTCGTGTCGGGCGTTTCTCGTATCTGTCGTGTTTGTTAGTATCTATCGTATCAGTCGCGTTTGTCGCATTTGTTGTATTTGTCGTGTCGGTCGTATTTGTCGTATCTGTCGTGTCGGTCGTATTTGTCGTATCTGTCGTGTCGGTCGTATTTGTCGTGTCGGTCGTATTTGTCGTATCTGTCGCGTTGGTCGTATTTGTCGTATCTGTCGTGTTGGTCGTATTTGTCGTGGCGGACGTATTTGTCGTGTCGGTCGTATTTGTCGTATCTGTCGTGTCGGTCGTATTTGTCGTATCTGTCGCGTTGGTCGTATTTGTCGTGTCGGTCGTATTTGTCGTATCTGTCGCGTTGGTCGTATTTGTCGTATCTGTCGTGTTGGTCGTATTTGTCGTGGCGGACGTATTTGTCGTGTCGGTCGTATCTGTCGCGTTGGTCGTATTTGTCGTATCTGTCTTGTCGGTCGTATCTGTCGTAACTGTCGTGTCGGTCGTATTTGTCGTATCTGTCGTATCTGTCGTGTCGGTCGTGTTGGTCGTATTTGTCGTATTTGTCGTGTCGGTCGTAACTGTCGTATCTGTCGTATTTGTCGTATTTGTCGTGTCGGTCATATTTATCGTGTCGGTCGTATCTGTCGCGTTGGTCGTATTTGTCGTATCTGTCGGGTTGGTCGTATTTGTCGTGTCGGTCGTATTTGTCGTATTTGTCGTGTCAGTCGTATCTGTCGTGTCGGTCGTGTCGGTCGTATTTGTCGTATTTGTCGTGTCAGTCGTATCTGTCGTATCTGTCGTGTCGGTCGTGTCGGTCGTATTTGTCGTATCTGACGTGTCGGTCGTATTTGTCGGGTCGGTCGTATTTGTCGGGTCGGTCGTATTTGTCGTATCTGTCGTGTTGGTCGTATTTGTCGTGTCCGTCGTAACTGTCGTGTCGGTCGTTTCTGTCGTATTTTTCGTGTCGGTCGTAACTGTCGTATTTGTCGTGTCGGTCGTATTTGTCGTATCTGACGTGTCGGTCGTATCTGTCGTGTCGGTCGTGTCGGTCGTATTTGTCGTATCTGACGTGTCGGTCGTATTTGTGGGGTCGGTCGTATCTGTCGTGTTGGTCGTATTTGTCGTGTCCGTCGTAACTGTCGTGTCGGTTGTTTCTGTCGTATTTTTCGTGTCGGTCGTAACTGTCGTATTTGTCGTGTCGGTCGTATTTGTCGTATCTGACGTGTCGGTCGTATCTGTCGTGTCGGTCGTGTCGGTCGTATTTGTCGTATCTGACGTGTCGGTCGTATTTGTGGGGTCGGTCGTATCTGTCGTGTTGGTCGTATTTGTCGTGTCCGTCGTAACTGTCGTGTCGGTTGTTTCTGTCGTATTTTTCGTGTCGGTCGTATCTGTCGTGATATTTCTTACTTACCTTCTTACTTACCAATATTTGCTATTCACCACTACAAAGTAGTGTCCGACCGAATGTTCGGTTTCGGTTTCGTTTTCAAACCAAAGAATTACTGCAGATTATATGTGTACGGCATGTCCATTAGTATATGTCGATGGTGACCTTCACGCATGTGCCGTCAAAACAGGCAACCGAAGATTTGATGATGATGAAGATTTGTGTGCGGTCGGTATAATGTATATATACATAAGTTATGCGTTTTTACAAACTTTTATTATATTATTGAATCTTAATAAACGCGATGTACATTTTATGTATGTTAATTATTCACGATATTTATAAGATAATAAAAATCGCGGGCTACTCATGTCGGGTAGCTTGCTGACATCGCCGCGACCGCGCACGCTGCTCATGACTAAATACCCCTCTGTGGTTTGATACTAGTAGAGCTTTTCTCAGTATATTCACATGAGTAACCCGCGATTTTTAGTTAATTTAGTCTCGCGATCGTTATTATAATTTATTATGTTGTTGCAGATATAAATGTACGATGTGTGCGAAAGGGTACAGGTCTCGCAACGAGCTCAGAGACCATGTGAACTACCAACATATGGGGAAGACGCAGCATAAATGTCCCATCTGTGAAAAGGTGAATGACACAATAACACGTTATACGCAACTAGGTATTATTAGTTTCGCTGTTTCACCCGCTGGTCGGCTCTTATTGGCCATAGCGTCTATAGGATAGGCCGGTAAACGAGCAGACGGATCACCTGATGGTAAGCAATTGGCGTCGCCCATGGACACACGGAACACTAGAGGCGTTACAAGTGCATTACCGGCCTTTTGAGGATTAGGAATCTGCGCGCGCCTCAAAGAGCCATCAGACAACCACAGATAGGGCCCAATAGGGCTGATGCCGATATGTAGCCGCGGAGGACTTAACGGGTTGCCGGGACTCCGGCTCGAAGGGCAGGCGTAGAAATAGTCAGTAAGAGTCTGACAGTCCCTGTCGCCTAACCCAAGGCGGGAGAAGACATCAAATGATTTTCGCCCCTCAAAAAAAGTAGATTAGGTTTTTAATGTAGGAGGGCCATGCTTCGGCACTGTAGTATAGGCTCGGAGTAATACCACGGCCGAGCAGAAAACCATAGTGAAACAACGCTTGCGTTGTGTTTCGTCGTGTGGGTAAATTTATTGAAGGCCCAATCCCCCCACCCTCTATTATTTTGCTTAATCCGCGATGCTGAAAGTGAAATGTATTTTATTTATGTATGTAAATTTATAATTCCAGGCTCTAGCCACGAGGCGTTGTATCACTCGGCACGTGAAACGCGCTCACGAAGGCATCAAGGAGAATGTTCGAGACAAAATGTGTCAGACTTGTGGAAAGGCATTTACGGTGAGTTTTACATATAAAAAGCAATGAAATGAAAAGAAAGTCGTGTTTTTTTGTTTATTGGATCAGCCGGTAAACGAGCAGACGGATCATCTGATGGTAAGCAAGCGGCGTTGCCCATGGACACTTGGAACACCAGAGGCGTTACAATTGCGTTACCGGCCTTTTGGGGATTAGGAATGTGAGGATTGTTGAGGATTCAGGGATTGGCGAGATTGGGGAAGTGGGCCTCCGGTAAACTCACTCACACGACGAAACACAATGCAAGCGTTGTTTCACGTCGGTTTTCTGTGTTAGTTACATTACTTATATTATAACTTAAGTACGGCTAAATCGATTTGACTGGAAAATGGTAGCTTAGAACCAGGAGAAGGACATAGGATAATTTTTATACAAGGATTTAACGAAAATCCTACTGAAACGGGAAAAACGGTTCCGCATACGAAGTCGCGGGCAGAAGGCTATAGCTCTTTTACATGTTCTCATTTCAAAATTGAAACTAAATAAGAAATAAGTGATAATGGCCAGCAGGTTTGAAATAGCAAACCCGCCTTGAGCAAGCGTGGTGATTAATGCTCAAACCTTCTCCGTGTGAGAAGAGGCTTAGCTTACCAGTGGCTACTTATAGGCTGTTGATAATTATATTGTCTGCCTCGTTGACCGAGTGGTCGCAAGTGTGACTGCCGGGCAAGGGGTCTTGAGTTCAATTCCCGGGTCGGGCTGGAATATTACTGGGTTGTAAAAAAAACTTAGTAGTAGCACGGAGTCTGAAATTGTGCCTGATATATGGCTATAGGCTCACCCCCTATTACATGGGAATCATAACATAAATAGTGAAACAGTGGGTGTTACATTGTACAGTGGCATAAAGTGCACCTCTGCCTACCTCTTCGGAGATAAAAGGCGTGATGTTATGTTATGTTATGATTATGATATTAATGATAGCTACATAGACAATAATAATTTTCCCGAACTGAAACAATGAGACCTCGATACGGAGCCGCGGAAGACTTAACAGGTTGCCTTGGCTCCGGCTCGAAGAGCAAGACTAAGAACATAACATAACATCACGCCTTGTATCCCCGAAGGGGTAGGCAGAGGTGCACACAGAAGTAACACCCACTTTTCACTATTTATGTTATGAGTCCCATGTAATAGGGGGTGAGCCTATTGCCATATACCGGGCACATTGCCAGACTCCGTGCTACTACTGAGATTTTTTTAAAAAACTCAGTAATACTTTGCCCGACCCGGGTATCGAACCCGAGACCCCTTGCCCGGCAGTCGCTCTTGCGACCAGTCGGCCAACGAGGCATCTAGACTAAGAATTGTGTGTATATTTTAATCATATTACCAAGAAATATAGAAGTTTATGTTCTTTTTTCAGCACAAGAAAAGTCTAATCGAGCACGAACTAATTCACTCTGGCGCTCGTCCGCTCTGGTGTGAGCTGTGTGGCTCTACATTCCGACAGAGTGCGTCCCTGTATACACACAGAAAGAGAGTGCATCGACTTCATACTGCGAGGAAGACCGCCACGTTGTTACACACGTGACTTTTGGTGACTTTTAGTGAATGATGGTGGCTTTGGTGACTGTGAGGACTGAAGTTTAAGTGAATATTAGTGTCACTATCACTAGTTGCTACATACGTGAGTTTTAGTGGCTATTGGGGACTTTTGGTTAACTATATCGGTGACTTTTAGTGAATTTGGTTAACTATATCGGTGACTTTTACTTACGTTACGACTGTTACTTTTGGGGACTATTGTGACTTTTGGTGACTTTGGTTAACTATATCGATGACTTTTAGTGAATTTGGTTAAGTATATCGGTGGCTTTTAGTGACTACTGTGACTTATGGTGACTGGTTGACTATACCGGTGACTTTGATTAACTATACCGGTGATTTTTTGTGACTATTGTGACTTGTGATGACTTTAGTTACCTATACCGGTAACTTTTTATGGCTATTGTGGCTTTTGGTGACTTTGGTTAACTATACCGGTGACTTTTGGTAGCTATTGGATAATAGTCGGTGACTTTAATAACTGTAGTTTTTGTGAATATTAGCGATTTCTTTTTGACTTAATTAATATTCACCCTGGCGCTGGTCTGCTCTGGTGTGAGCTATGTGGCTCTACATTCCGACAGAGTGCGTCACTGTACACACACAGAAAGAGAGTGCATCGACTACATACTGCTAGGAAGACCGCCACGTTGTTACATACGTGACTTTTGGTGACTTTTAGTGAATGATGGTGGCTTTGGTGACTGTAAGGACTGAAGTTTATGTGAATATTAGTGTCACTATCACTAGTTGCTACATACTTGAGTTTTACTGACTATTGGTTAACTATGCCGGTGACTTTTGGTGACTTGCTGACTTTGGTTATCTATATCGGTGACTTTTGCTGAATTGGTGACTTTGGTTAACTACACCGGTGACTTTTGCTGAATTGATGACTTTAGTTAACTATAACGGTGACTTTTTGTGACTATTGTGAATTTTGGTGACTTTACTAAACTATACCGGTAACTTTATGTAACTATTGTGGCTTTTGGTGACTTTAGATAACTACACCGGTGACTTTTAGGGACTTGGAGACTTTGGTTAACTATACCGGTGACTTGGTAGCTATTGGATAATTATCGGTGACTCATGTCTCTCTTTATGTTATTTTTAATGAATTAATTAAATAAATAAAGAAATGTACGTTTACTTACATGGAATTTCTAGTCATAATCTAATAATGTAATGTTATCATAACATTAAAATACAATAATTGTATCATTTGACAGACGATTGAGAAAAATTAGATTTTTAAGTACAGCTAGGCAAAAAAGAGTTTGACACGGTGACAGCTGGTACTAATATCGACTTGGACTGAATCACCCACTTCGGACTATGGTCCGTATCCCATGAATAAACAATCATCCGAACACAGTACCTTATCATTTTAAACTCGGTAAAAATAACAAATATCGAAACTGATTGAGTCGTAGTGTACCAGGTTGCCAGAGGTTCGATACTAGCGGCCTCTATTGTTCCAAACTCTTTCTTGACAAGCTGTATTTCTTTATTTATGTGGCGAATAGCGACCCGCCCCGACTTCGCACGGGTGCAATATGCATGTATTATACATACAAACCTTCCTTAAGAATCACTCTATCTACTAAACCGCATCAAAATCCGTTGTGTAGTTTTAAAGATCTAAGCATACATAGGGACAGACAGACGGCGGATAGCGACTTTGTTTTATACTATGTAGTGATTCAGTAATAATGTATTTCATGTATCAGTATTTATTTAATATATACCTTGAATACAGTAAAATATTGGGTTTTATTTGCTAGAATGATTCCTATCTCCTATATAGAAAAAGTAACCTATTTCCACTAGGCTTTTTTATGACATAAGCCAGTAAACGAGCAGACGGATCACCTGATGGTAAGCAATCGGCACAGGGCCGGATTTAGGGGGGGGGGGCAACCGGGGCGAAAGCCCCGGGGCCTCCACAATAGACTTCGGAAAAAAAATCTTTCAAATTTCAACTAGTAAACCTAGTAAACATCTTTTCTTTGATACTTTTTTTTCGCTTTTACCTTTACCTACAGCCTAAAGTACTTTATACATACATGATTATTTGATTATATTAATTTTAAATATTAACAGAAACAGAAATCATTGATCTATATTTGTTCACTCCAATCAGGCAATCAGTGAAATATCAAAATCTCAAATGGCTCTGATAAGCACTTCCAATTTACTACCCATCTTGAGGGAGTACCCCAATGGCTCAATGGCTCAGTGGGATGGTACTTGCCCGCAACCTCGGAGGTTGGCTATTCGATTCCGTGTCTCGACCATTAAAAAAATTAATTGCAGTATGTGAACAATTGGTATTCTTCAATTCTTAAACTCGAAATCTGTCGAGCGTCCTCGAAATCTATCGAGCGTCCTCGACTGTTTTCGAGCGTCCTCGATTGTTTTCGAGCGTCCTCGAAATCTATCGAGCGTCCTCGACTGTTTTCGAGCGTCCTCGAAATCAATCGGGCGTCCTCGAAATCTATCGAGCATCCTCGATCGTTTTCGAGCGTCCTCGATTGTTTTCGAGCGTCCTCGAAATCTATCGAGCGTCCTCGACTGTTTTCGAGCGTCCTCGAAATCAATCTGGCGTCCTCGAAATCTATCGAGCATCCTCGATCGTTTTCGAGCGTCCTCAACTGTTTTCGAGCGTCCTCGAAATCTATCAAGCATCCTCGATTGTTTTCGAGCGTCCTCGAAATCTATCGAGCGTCCTCGACTGTTTTCGAGCGTCCTCGAAATCAATCGAGCGTCCTCGATTGTTTTCGAGCGTCCTCGAAATCAATCGAGCGTCCTCGAAATCTATCGAGCGTCCTCGAAATCTATCGAGAGTCCTCGATCGTTTTCGAGCGTCCTCGAAATCTATCGAGCGTCCTCGACTGTTTTCAAGCGTCCTCGAAATCAATCGAGCGTCCTCGAAATCTATCGAGCGTCCTCGATTGTTTTCGAGCGTCCTCGAAATCTATCGAGCGTCCTCGAAATCTATCGAGGGTCCTCGAAATCTATCGAGAGTCCTCGATCGTTTTCGAGCGTCCTCGAAATCTATCGGGCGTCCTCGAAATCAATCGAGCGTCCTCGATTGTTTTCGAGCGTCCTCGAAATCTATCGAGCGTCCTCGAAATCTATCGAGCGTCCTCGATTGTTTTCGAGCGTCCTCGAAATCTATCGGGCGTCCTCGAAATCTATCGAAGGTCCTCGAAATCTATCGAGAGTCCTCGATCGTTTTCGAGCGTCCTCGAAATCTATCGGGCGTCCTCGAAATCAATCGAGCGTCCTCGATTGTTTTCGAGCGTCCTCGAAATCTATCGAGCGTCCTCGAAATCTATCGAGCGTCCTCGATTGTTTTCGAGCGTCCTCGAAATCTATCGGGCGTCCTCGAAATCAATCGAGAGTCCTCGATCGTTTTCGAGCGTCCTCGAAATCTATCGAGCGTCCTCGAAATCTATCGAGAGTCCTCGATCGTTTTCGAGCGTCCTCGAAATCTATCGGCGTCCTCGAAATCTATCGAGCGTCCTCGACTGTTTTCGAGCGTCCTCGAAATCAATCGGGCGTCCTCGAAATCTATCGAGCATCCTCGATCGTTTTCGAGCGTCCTCAACTGTTTTCGAGCGTCCTCGAAATCTATCGAGCATCCTCGATTGTTTTCGAGCGTCCTCGAAATCTATCGAGCGTCCTCGACTGTTTTCGAGCGTCCTCGAAATCTATCGGGCGTCCTCGAAATCAATCGAGCGTCCTCGATTGTTTTCGAGCGTCCTCGAAATCTATCGAGCGTCCTCGACTGTTTTCGAGCGTCCTCGAAATCTATCGAGAGTCCTCGATCGTTTTCGAGCGTCCTCGAAATCTATCGGGCGTCCTCGAAATCAATCGAGAGTCCTCGATCGTTTTCGAGCGTCCTCGAAATCAATCGAGCGTCCTCGATTGGTTTCGAGCGTCCTCGAAATCTATCGAGCGTCCTCGACTGTTTTCGAGCGTCCTCGAAATCAATCGAGCGTCCTCGACTGTTTTCGAGCGTCCTCGACTGTTTTCGAGCGTCCTCGAAATCTATCGGGTGTCCTCGATTGTTTTCGAGCGTCCTCGAAATCTAACGGGCGTCCTCGAAATCTATCGAGAGTCCTCGATCGTTTTCGAGCGTCCTCGAAATCTATCGGGCGTCCTCGAAATCTCTCGAGCGTCCTCGATCGTTTTCGAGCGTCTTCGAAATCTATCGGGCGTCCTCGAAATCTATCGAGCGTCCTCGATTGTTTTCGAGCGTCCTCGAAATCTATCGAGCGTCCTCGATCGTTTTCGAGCGTCCTCGATCGTTTTCGAGCGTCCTCGATTGTTTTCGAGCGTCCTCGAAATCTATCGAGAGTCCTCGAAATCTATTGGGCGTCCTCGATTGTTTTCGAGCGTCCTCGAAATCTATCGGGCGTCCTCGAAATCTATCGAGAGTCCTCGATCGTTTTCGAGCGTCCTCGAAATCTATCGAGCGTCCTCGATCGTTTTCGAGCGTCCTCGAAATCTATCGGGCGTCCTCGAAATCTATCAAGTGTCCTCGAAATCAATCGAGCGTCCTCGATCGTTTTCGAGCGTCCTCCATTGTTTTCGAGTGTTCTCGAAATCTATCGAGAGTCCTCGATCGTTTTCGAGCGTCCTCGATTGTTTTCGAGCGTCCTCGAAATCTATCGATAGTCCTCGAAATCTATCGAGCGTCCTCTAAATCAATCGAGCGTCCTCGATCGTTTTCGAGCGTCCTCGAAATCAAGCGAGCGTCCTCGATCTCAATCTGGAAAATAATTTGGGGTAAGGGGGCCTCCACTCCTTTGTTGCCCCGAGGCCTCTGGACCCCTAAATCCGGCCCTGAATCGGCGCCGCACATGGACACCTGGAACACTAGACGCGTTACAAGTGCGTTACCGGCCTTTTGTGGATTAGGAGATTGACGATTGTTGGGATTCGGGGATTGGGGAGACTGGGGAGAATTGGGCC